CATTTAGTCAAAATTAGTAAATTGTAAGAACAGTGGGCTAAAAAAATCAAAAATGTTAGTGAAAAGTTTTTTACTAAGATTTTACACTCAGAAAGTGAGGTAAATAATGAAAATGTGTTAGTGATATTTTCTAACAATTTATCTTACATGGGGCCACATACTACAATGCTTAAATATCCAGTATGGAATCACAAGGTTAGTGGACTCTACAGTGTTTAAATGTTGAATAGCAACTAAAGGATTTGGTGAAGTCTACAATTTTTAAATCTTCAAATGCAACTGATGGATTCGGTAGACTCTACAAAGTTTAAAGAGACAATAAAAACTAGAGGGTCTGGTGRGCTACTTTTACTGCATTTACAAGTTTTAAGTCACTTGTTGCATTTTTAATTAGCCTGTAATTTTGGGCTTTTTGAGACTTTAGACATACTTTAATCACCTCTGTTTTTGGAATAGTTCAAAAATAAAKACAACTTGATTTAACTTCTTGGAAAGTTGGAGGGATGTTCATGTTTAGAGRTTAAAAGCTGTGTCTACAATGTTTACAGAACTCAATGAACTTGCCTCCTGATAAGGTGCGTCTGCTGCGTTCGTACGACAATGAGAAGAAGTGGGAGCTCATATGTGATCAGGTGGGTTGTTACAACTTTCTGCAACCTTAATAATAATATTAATAGTAAAATAAATAGTTAACATGTATCAGAACCTGGGTGACATTCAGATACATGTGTCTGGTGGGACGGGTTTTCAGTGACATTAATTCCATTGTGTTTTTGGGTGTGTTTGTAGGAGAGATTTCAGGTGAAGAACCCTCCACATACCTACATTCAGAAACTGAGAGGCTTCCTTGACCCAGCCGTAACGCGCAAGGTGAGATAAAAAATATGTTTTATATACACCGTATATATTACCACAGAAGTTGAACTTTCAGTTTAAAGACATTTGAATCTGTCAAAAAAAAAAAAAWAAGCTGAGGGTTTTCTGTTACAACACCCTCTAGGTCAGGGATGTCCAAAGTGAGCTCGGGGGCCATTTGTGGCCCCTGAACTGATTTTATGTGGCCCCTGACTTCAGTTCAAGAGTTATACTAATTTGTTTACAAATTTATCCTCCTGGCACAGGTGTTTGATGTAGATGGAGACTTTCTATTTATTATTAGGGCAAATTTATCACGAACAAAGTAACATCTTTTAATAAAAAATATTGGCAACAATATCAATTATTTGTCTTTAAAAACCAGACTCAGCTTTTTCCACATCTATAGTGAAAAGCAGATTTTGCTGCACTCCAATCTGCTTTTAATTGATTTATTAAATTCATCTTAATTCAGCAAGCATTTTCAAAGAAAGAGTGACCTAAATCCTGATTTTATTGATCAGAATTGACTAAATTAGGTTATTTTTCCCCCCCAATTGAAACCTAGAAAATTGCAAAATTTCTTTCAATAAGGGAAACCTGCAAAACACTTTTAAAGTTCTGGATCTAGATTAATTTATGCATCCATTTCGAGCAATAAATCTGACTACTTTATTTGTTTAATTAAAGTAATCAATGCTTAGTTTATTGTTGAGCAGGTAAAGGAAAAATATTTTTGGCCCTCAAGTCCTTCCGACTGTATGATTTTGGCCCATGTGACAAAATGTTTGGATACCCCTGCTCTAGGTTGTATAAGAACATTTCCTTAGGGATTCTCAAGAGTAGGGGTGGGCATTCCTGGTCCTCGAGGATCACATGCTTGTTTCCCTGCTTCAACGCAAATGATGCAGTGGCTGAATTAACTCTTCAAGTTTACAGATGCTCCATAATCACCCATTCACTAAAATCAGGTGTGTCGGAGCAGGGAAACAAGTAAAACATAATACAGGATAGTGACCCTCGAGGATCAGGAATGCTCACCCCTACTCAAGAGGATGTTGTAACCTTGTTTTCAGACTGAACAAGAATATAACCTGTCTGTCTGTCTTTCTGCCTGTCTGTCCACAGAAATTCAGACGAAGAGTTCAGGAGTCAACACAAACACTCAGAGAACTTGAGATTTCTCTTCGGACAAACCACATCGGGTACTTGTCTATCTGATCGCCCATCCAAATCCCTTCTGACTTTGTGAGCTTTCTCTATGACYCACCCGTTTGTCTCACCTGTCTCTCTACATTCAGGTGGGTCAGAGAGTTTCTGAACGAGGAGAATCGAGGTCTTGATGTTCTGGTCGAGTATTTGTCCTTTGCTCAGTATGCAGTCACGTAAGTCACATCATTGATGCTTTTTTGCCTGCTCAAAAGTGCTTAGCTCTGGATTTTATGGTTGCAAACAGTTCTGCTATACTTTGTGTATAGAAAACTTCAGTTTGGGTTATCTAGGGAAAATAAACAGTGAATCTGCTYGTAAAAACACGGGTCTCAACCAGAAAAGGGTGAAATGCTCCCTCTGGGTTGGGGTTGAGTCTTTACTCCAAGCTGGAGGGTTCAAGTATCTGGACATTCTGAGTGATGGTAGGACAGATCAGGATCTCATCTGCAGTAATGAGGGAGTTGTTCTGGTTTGTTGTGATGAAGATGGAGCTGATCTAATAGATTCACTGGTCTATCTGCATTCCAACCCTCACTTAAGCTTTCTCCATAGGGTAGCCGGGTTCAGCTTTAGAGATCCATCATCTGTRGGAAGCACAATGTAAAGACGCTGTTCCTCCTCATTGAAAGAAGTCAGTTAGGATGATCCAGAAACCTAAGTACTTAGGATGACTTCTGGAGATTTTCTGGGCACATCACACTGGGAGGAGAACCCAGAAAACACTCAACTTGTTGGAGGGATAAGTTCACTCTGTCTTGGGAACACCTGAGGATCCTCTAGGAGGAGCTGAAGAGTGTTGCTGTAGATCAGGAGTCTCAAACTCATTTTCACAGAGGGCCACATGAGTCTTATGGTGGTCCTCAAAGGGCCARTTGTAATTAACTTCAATGTTTCATGTTTGATTAGACTAAACTATAAACGTCACATTCCTCGTCTCATTGCTACTGCTGAGCACTGCTAATAAACAATAACTGAGCTCTACGTGGAATTTCTTGCATAGAAACAGAGTTTTAACAAGTCTTTTTAAGAACACTGAAAAGTACTACATGTATTACTGACAAAATGTGAAATAAATAATACAGAAATACTAGTAAAAATAAAAATAAGAGGGGTTTACTCACTGTTCAGTCGTGGTTAGTAGTTGCCATTTTGAATTCTTAACTCTGTCTTTCTAACAAGGAATTCTCACTTGTTCCAGTTTTAATTTATGACTTGAAAGTGGGAAATTTCTGGATGGGATGTGGATGGATGGATAATAGATGGATGGATGATGGATGGATAATGAATGGATGGATGGATGATGGATAATGAATGGATGGATGGGCAGATGGACGGATGGATGGTTGGATGGATGAATGGATGGATGGATGGATGGATAATGAATGGATGGATGATGGATGGATAATGGATGGATGGATGGGTGGATGGATGATGGATGGATAATGGATGGATGGATGGGTGGATGGATGGATGGATGGATGATAAATGATGGATGGATGGATGGATGGATGGATGGATGGGTGGATGGATGGATGGATGGATAATGAATGGATGGATGGATGGATAATGGATGGGTGGATGGATGGATGATGGATGGATGGATGGATAATGAATGAATGGATGGATAATGAATGGATGGGTGGATGGATAATGAATGGATGGGTGGATGGATGGATAATGAATGGATGGATGGATGGATGGATGGATAATGGATGGATGGATGATGGATGGATGATGGATGGATGGATGGATAATGAATGAATGGATGGATGGATAATGGATGGATGGATGGATAATGAATGAATGGATGGATAATAAATGGATGGAAGGATAATGAATGGATGGATGGATGGGTGGATGGATGGATAATGAATGGATGGATGGATGGATGGGTGGATGGATAATGAATGAATGGATGGATGGATAATGAATGAATGGATGGATGGATAATGAATGAATGAATGGATGGATGGATAATAAATGGATAGATGGATGGTTGTATGGATGGATGAATGGTGATTCTGGCTGACTGAATGTTTTGTTCAGGTTTGATGGAGAGCAGTCAGACACTGGCAGTGAAGTGGGATCCATTGACTCCCCCTGGAGTCGCTCCATAGAGGATCTCCAGGGCGACTGCAGTCTCCCATCCCCATCCTCATCTGTCCCTCGTTCAGCTCGACACTCCATCAGGTAAAAAGAAATGACATCGTGTTGCATTAACGCAGGTAAACTCACCTGATGAGCTGTTATCGTATGTCTCTAAGTGTTCACAGCTCAGCTTTAGTGACTCGCTCCAACACGTTACCGAGTCGCCGAACGCTGAAAAACTCACGGCTCGTTTGTAAGAAAGATGATGTTCATGTTTGCATCATGTGTTTGAGAGCCATCATGAACTACCAGGTAACAAACAACACCTTCTGTTGAGTTTCTCTGTACACACAAACACCCTGAATCAACTGTTTCCTCCTCTCTCTCAGTACGGCTTCAACATGGTMATGTCTCATCCCCACGCTGTCAATGAAATTGCTCTCAGCCTGAACAACAGGAACCCAAGGTACTACAATAAATACTTCCACCACACAGCAGTATGTAACCTGAACACACGGCTGACTGTGGTGTTCTGACCCCTCATCAGGACGAAGGCCCTGGTTCTGGAGCTGTTGGCAGCAGTGTGTTTGGTCCGAGGAGGACATGAGATCATCCTGTCAGCATTTGACAACTTTAAAACTGTAAASAGTAACACCACCACACTGACCAATCGTGGCACAAACCTGACCGATGAAATGATCCGTTGAGTGATTAATAAACTGCTCTGTTGCAGGTTTGCAATGAGGCGATGCGTTTTGAAAAGTTGATGGAACATTTCAAGAACGAAGACGACAACATCGACTTCTTGGTAACCTCTGTCTTGAAGAGTTTATAACAGTGTGACATCTTCACATCAGTTACATGCTTAATGTTTTCTTCTGTCATGGAAAACTTTAGGTGGCCTGCATGCAGTTCATTAACATTGTGGTGCACTCAGTAGAGGACATGAACTTCAGAGTTCATCTGCAGTATGACTTCACCAAACTCAACCTGGAGGAACATCTGGAGGTAATACAACAACCACTCACAGCATGATCACATGATCTGACTTCAGTCAATCACGTGATGTTTGATCTTATTCTAACTGGTATGTAGTTATAGTCAGGGGAAACAAATGTTTCGGAAGAATAAAAGAAAAAACRAAACTTCAGGGGCCTCGCATCAACACAAGAAAAGGTTGTGTTCGCCAGGTTCCACGCACACGTCGGGATGCATCAGAATGAACGCTGCATGRAAGTTAGGGTTCTAACTGTTTTCTGGATGTAAGGAGCATCTCAACACAATGTTATTTTTTTAGCTTTTTTTTTTTGTTTAAACCTGAATGATGAAAAATACAACATTCCTGAAAAACAATTGAAACTTCCATCCAATGTAAACTGTAAAGTTTCTTATATTTTTATCACATGTATAAATGTAAACACACGTCAGCGATGCACACTCAAAAACAGATGTAGAGGACTTAATTACAAAAAATTATGTCAACTGGTTCATTTCAACTGAACTGAGCAAAAGTAACACATTTACTTTAACACACACACGCACACACACACACATGCACACGCGCACACACACACACACATGTATTTGCATCAAACTGAGGACTTTTTATTGACTTCCATTCATTTGTAACTGTATTTATGCCTAGTCCAGACATTTTCCCTAAAACTAACCATTACTAGTATATTCCTAACACTAATCTGAACCAAAACCTAATTCACACCATACCACTAAACCTCACTAGTAAAGTGCAGTAGAGGACCAGSACTAGGTCCTCACTTTACATCAAAGGCCTCACTTTGATAGTAACTATTTTGCAAGTGGTCCTCACTCTGTAGCAAAAACAAGTACGCACACACACCTTCTTTGCRTGTGGAAAACACATTTTTACACCCCACTACTTATTAGGAACAAATCTCACTCACATTCCATCAAACTGATAGTTTGATAAGTCTGAATATTTCGCTCCCTGCAACAACTTTCAGTTTGAAAACTTCTCACTCCTTGATGCATGAGGCCCCATGTGATTTTTATTCCAGCAGTTAGTAGAGCTCACTTCAGTAAAAACTGGAAATAAACATGTATTACTTTTAACCTGGTTCTTACTTGCCTCCTCAACCAGTTTCTTATTTTTTGTTCTTTTGTGTCCTTGCCTGTACTTTTGATTGTCTCCTCTCAGACATTAAAGCACACAGAGAGTGACAGACTGCAGGTTCAGATCCAGGCATATCTGGACAACGTGTTTGATGTTGGGACACTTCTGGAGGACGCCGAGACAAAAACTGCTGCTCTGGAGAGAGTCGAAGAGCTGGAAGAGAATCTGGCCACAGTAAGACAATAAGTGGAGACAAGATAAAGATGTTTTACCGCTTTACTATAGAAAATACTAGCCAATAAAAGATAATACTACTCAACAGGTAGTWCTACACAGTGCAATTATGAATATAAACACAACGTACATGCAGTGCATTTAAAATGCACACTGGAGCAGCATAATTCCATGGAAGGATTGAGGACTWTGACAAGTTAAGACGGGTATTGTTTGAAAATAAATATGTGTGCAAACTAATGCATAGTACAAATTAGTAGCACAATGGCAGACTCCATGGATGAGTGATCAAAAGTACAGCTGTCAGGTAGAAGTCCACTTTGTCTTAGGTGTGTTTATTATCAGGTATACTAGGAAGTTTGGTACTGATGAAATACCAAGTAAATACAGGGCTAGTATGGCTGATTCCGATACAGATATCAATGCCATGTTCATTGAATAATTGTGATTCCACCTTTCACTAGCAAGGACCGTGCCATGATATGAGATTAAATATTTTATTGGAGGAAGGGGTTGAGGGGTGGGGGGGGGTGAGGAAGGGGTCGAGGGGTGGGGGGATGAATGACGATGCATCTGGGGAGGTACATCGAAKGAGGCTTGAGGAGAAGACTCWGAGTGGGGCATGGTYTCCAGGAAGGATGCTTTTTCCTGAGCCTGCTTTGGACCCCCCAGCTGGAACCTGAAAWGGAATGGATTAGGAGTCAGTTTGAGGTAGGGATGGAGGAGAAAGAAAGAGAAATGCGGAGATGAAGGGATGAAGTGATGAGGAAGGGATGAGGATAGGAAGAAGGAATGTGGGGAGGGGATGAAGGGATGGAGGGATGAGGAAGGGATGAAGGGAAGAAGGGAGTGAGGAAGGTGGTGCAATGAGGGCGTGCAAAGGGGCCTAAGTGGGGCGAAAGGGGAAGGTGGGTGTCGAGACGGCGAGCTGAGGGCAGAACGCCAGGTGAGGCGAGTTAAATAGATGCTGACCAATAAGCTGAAGGTGAGAGGCGTGGTACTGCTCCCGAACCTAAGTTAATATCTTAACTTCATTTAGTAAGTCGAAAATGATAAAACACAGGAAAAAGATTTTATGCTTTGTATTAACTACAATATAAAACAATAGTATAAAAATAATAAATAATTCCCCTATAACTTATACTACACACAATTGTTTTAAAAAAGTCACTAGTGCAAAATGACAAAAATAAAGCAGTAGTGTAACAAAAATATAAATATAACTATGTCAACAACAAAACAAAAAATTTTCATAGCACATAGACACGTTGTAAGGCACTAACGATGAACTCCAATTTGAAGACTCTGCTCTACTGACTTTATCTTTCACTTTATTATTGAAAAATAAAGTCAGGAGTTCAAATATTGCTAGCATATTTCTGATACGCCTTGATTTTTGAAAACAGCTTTAATCACAATTTTACAGAATAAACATTCACATTGAAAACTGGGAAAAGATTTCTTTCAACCAAAGAAATTAAACATCACTAAATAACTGTCTTTTAATCATTTGGGTATCGATTTCGAACTTCAGTCTGAAGGTGGTACTGTTCTTTGTTTAAGATAAAATGGGCACACTTAGGTTGACCCTTTGATGTTAAAACTTACGGCAGAATGTGAAGAAACTGGGTTTTTATATGGCGAGGTGTAACAAAAGGTCGTCACATTTGTCCATTTGTAGCCAGATGTCTGCTAAAGAATTTAACTCAGGACTGACCATTCAGATTTGGGTAAAGTTTTGCTTTCCTTTGGGTAAATCAGCAGAGGTGACAAGTTGTGAGGGAAACACAAGTTGGCCAAATGGACTCTACAGATTGGTATAAAGAGGGGTGCAGCCATGTGTGAGGAATTTATACGACTCTTGCTTTTATAAAGACAGTCAAATGGGCAAAAACCTTTGGATGGAGGTAGACAACATTTTACAGTAAAGAGTTACAAGAGTCTGGTGAATAGCACCGTTAGTGAATCCATCAACGGTCCATGTTGGTCCTGTCTTAAGGACCTGTCACACTATAGACCAGTGGTTACCAAACTTTTCAGTATTTGACCCACAAAATACTAGTAGAAGCGACCTGTGCCCCAAACTGTTGTTGGTTTATGAACATTGCTTTCACGTCAAATAAACAAGAGCATYGTAACAATATTCATTATGGTATTTTTGTCCATTTTATGTACACTAACCTTACGCTTTTGTAACAGCAAAGTCAAAACAATGTTGTCATTTTTAAATATAATCAAGTCAGAAAATCTTTTCAAGACCCCACCTTGATTTTCCAGGACCCCACTGTGGGTCCCGACCCCAATTTTGGGAACCACTGTTCTAGACCACTTATACCAACGTGTGAACATTTCATTCAACACTGATTCTACATTGACGGTGGAATAAAGAAATCTACAGGAAGACTCTTTTGGACGTGTACATATTGTAATGCTAATGACTTCAACCAATAACCTATATGGGTAATTTAATCATAACAAMATTTCTATGCGTCTACATAAGTCTAAAACATTAAAGTGTGACAGGATCTTTAGAGTCCAGTCTGGGGCTCAGTGTGGTCACAAGTGTTCCTGTCTCTGTCTTCAGATGTCAGAGCGTCTGCTGGATGTGGAGAATGAAGCGATGCTGAAGATCGTTGAATTAGAGAAACAGCTGATGCAGACAAACAAAGAACTGGACCAACTTCGGGTCAGTACTGTTTCTGTGAAAATCCCACAGTTCAGCTCTACAGAAGCAGAAAGGGTGTGTGTGCTGATGTTGTGCAGGACGTGTACGCCAGCGCCAACTCTCAGGTGCACACCTTACGCCGGATGGTTCGAGAGAAGGATCAGACCATTCGAAGGCAGAGTCGCCTGGAGCGTCAAGCTCAGGAGGCCCAGCAGGCTGGAGGACCTGGAGCTCCWCAGCCTCAGAGGGGGGAGGGAGATGGGGGTGTGGCGGATTCTGCCTCCCCCTCTCCTCCACCTTGTCCAAACCTGTCCCCCAGGCAAGACACACCACCTGAAATGAAGGTTTCCTCTGTAGGTTATCCCATCTTTTGTTGATCGATTACCTGTTTGATTTCTGCAGCCCTGAAACTGTAGCCTATCACAGCATGGGACCTGGGATGGGTGGCGCTCTAGGCATGCCAAATCCACCCCCTCCACCTCCTCCTCCACCAATGCCAGGCACATGTGAGTCTCATGTCCACCAGTCAAAACAAATACTGCTGCTAAAACCTAGAGCTGTTGCATTAAAATGCTTTAATTTCAGTTATATACACCAACGCACTACTGCTTTTTGTCCTCAGTGTCCAATGGACCATACCCTGCACCTCCACCTCCTGCTCCTCCTCCACCCCCTCCTCCCC